AGATAGATAGTATATTATATGTAGTAAATGTTCCTCAATATTCTATAAAAAAACTTTTAAATTATGACACAGTTAACTCGTATTAATAATTAAGAAAATTATATAATGCATTTTGATGTTTTATTATTGATAATAATTATTATATCAATAATAAACCACATCAAGAGAGAATGAACTTTTATAAACTTTTTTCAAGACTACAAATCTTGAGAAAGCATTTCACGTTGTCATACGCAACAAGCGCGCAACGTAAACATGCCTTGTGTCTCGCCTTATACTCGGCTTGGTGAAAGGGAGACGGAACATAATATGTCTGCACTCTTCTACGAGCGCACACGGACGACGGCGGTTTCGCTTGTGTGCGTTCCCCCACTACTTCGGTGCTGGCCGGCTGCTTGATCTTTCTCGACGCTTGAAATCGTGCACATAGCACAGAGTAGAACCATGTCCACAGCACGGAATAGAACCATGTCCACGTTTGGACATAGCGTACGTATCGACAAGTAGCTCGTGGACATCGCTACGTAGTTGCCAATGTGCACCACCCATGGACATGCGCTAGCTTACGGGCCGGAATAGCTATCGTAAAAACTCTTATAGGCCTGGCCGCTCTCAGGCTTCTTTCTGGTTCAATTGTGTCACTCCATGGATACCAACTTTTTTCCGTTTATTTTTCTATGGAATGCTATTCTTGTAGACTGTTTTTTGCTGTGCTTTCAAATGATATTCGGAACAGTATGGTTACTCACTTTGGCTATTTTTTAGCGATAGTTTAAAATATACTATATTCATCACGCATATATACCGGAAAACTTAAATAACTTATGTAAAGTGATTGTTCCGCACTCTGACGATGAAAACTAAAAGCTAAAAGCGTTCCAACTACAAGTCGACACTGTGTTACACTGTGTCACACAGTGTATGACAGTGTTCCGTTGTTGGAAAGCACCCACTATTAGATCGCTAACTTGAGAATGTGGGATATGGAAAAACCATATATGTAATACTTCTATATTGCTAGTCGCGTATCTTCGCAATGAGAGGCCCGAGAAAGAGAGACGCACAAAGTCCAAATATGGGCATAGATAGTCGAGCGTCATTATGCGCAGGCGCGTCTACTAAGCGAGTGCGAGCGAGACAAAG